GGGCTATATTACCTTCCTGTGAATGATTCTGAAACTATCTACAATGGCGTCTTTGGGACAATAACAAAGCTATTATTTAACTTACTGTGAACAAGCCAGGATTATGATACTTTTTACGAAAATTACAAAATTTTAAGGGTGCCGTAACCGAGATAGTTAAGGATCGTTTAAATTTTAAGTTATTCTAAGCCTTATACGAGTCAACTTAGTATAAATCTTTAAAATGATATATCCTAATATTTATACTGTAAGTAATAACTTTTATTTTACTCTAGTTAACTTTAGTACAATTTATAGTCAAAGTATATAAAGCTGTAACCTACTAGTGCAAGACAGCACTGCAAATTGATTAATTCATAGTAGTAAAGAAGCACTGAAATTTTTCAAGTTATGACTAAACACAGAGCCTGCCTAAATTGTTTAACATAGGTATGCTATACACTTAATAACTAGGCCAGAGGAGTGTATAGGTTTAGTTAAATTCAGTTTGATTAACCATTAAAATATAAAAATTTATACAAGTTCTCTAGTTTAATTTGACATTTTAATTCGAAGGCTTCAAACTAAAAATTGTAAAATCTAACAATTAGTTAAATAAGATTTAGTCATTCAATAATGAGCTAAGAACCAAGCTAGTTTACTATTTTATTTGTTCATTAACACAGTGAGTCATTTGGGTAAAGATAAAATACTACCGTTTTATTTTCTAAAGCCCAGCTATTTCCCTAGACGGTTTAATAAGGGTTTACCTAACTACCATTGTCATCAACAATTTTGAGCTTCAGTGTCTAAGCTTAGTTTGTTTTTATCAATCATTTATAAATCTTATCTGAGTAACTTTAGCCACAAATTAGAGTTCATTCTCTTTTGTCTATCAATCTCATAACTAATAGGCTTATGTTTACCCGAAAACCAGCAGGTTATCAAATTGATTAGTATCAGTGTTTTACTTATACATGTTCAAGGTAACACTTTACTAAAGTGAATTTCGTTAGGGTAAAGCTAATAGTTATTTTTAAGTATAACTAACTAACAATCTAGACATGTTGGCTAGTTTAATGTTCTATCAAAGTAGAACGAAAAGCAAGCATAATGATTTCCTACTTGTTACTGTTAGACCCTACGGGCGATCTTTTATACTAAAAGTTGTCCCAGAGGCAGAATTGGCTGCCTTCCTGGGATCCAAGTGTAATAGAAAGGAGGTAACCATTATCCTACCTTTGTGTTTTCGTTCTACTTTGTTAGAACATTTAATTAGCTAACATGTCTAGACTGTAAGTTAGTTAATTATAACTTTTACAAAATAACCTGTTTACCAAATCTAACAGGAAGATACAAGTAATGATATTAAAACTAAAAAGTAATCTTACTTAATTTTATCAGAGTCAAAAATCTAGACTCTGCTACCTGAATAAAACGTGTTGTAGTAATCTAATGCTTAGTTTATAGCATTAACTATTGGTCTATAGATCTGGACAGTGCTCTCTATCTTGATTCAAGTTCATTTGGGGTTGTAAATTATTTAGCTTGATATTTGTATATATACACATTGATAACTACCTCTAACAGATTTATTTGCATCTCTGTTTATCATCTCAAAAAGAAGATTTTAAGTATTAAAATAAAGTCAATCGTGAAACAACAGCAAGCAAGGTAAAATGGACGAAAGCCTTATCATGTGATATGAGAAGCAACTAAGATAAATAACTTTGCTAATTTACTTCCTGTTTTAGATAACTAAATAACAATTATCTCAAGGTAAAATAATCTTGAGAAATTCAATCTACTCATGCTTAAGAGGTTGATAGAGTTAGGTAGAAAATTAGGTTAGAAGTCATGTAATATATCAAAAGTTTGACTCTTAGCTAGGACAGCTGTAATATAAATAATTGAATTCCAAAGTTAAAGAAGCTGCCTCAAATAACCCAAGTCACTTTAGGGGCCTTTGATCGTTCACTCAGGAAGCTAACTTAAAGACATTTAACTAATTCTATTAAATCAATCAAGTCATTAGCTTTATAAGGGATAAACAAATATATAATCAAGGCTATGACACATGACCAAGTCCTTGATAAATGACTGAGCAAACTTTTGTACATTTTAGCTTTTTTAGCTATGTCAACCAAGCAGGGCTCTTTACTATTTATATAGTTAAAATTTGAGTGTCATTAAATTCTGTTACCTTGCAAATATTTTTATAACAAATAAACTTAATTAGCTTAAACATGAAAACTAAAATTAAATAACACAATCATAAAAAATATAAATTATTGTTACGAAGCAAATGAACTAACATTACTTTCGATTTTCACTTTTGCATTTTTAGCATTTTGCCAGAAGAATATGTTATATAGAATAATTACGAGCTCGAAACCGCCGTATGTAGAGAGCGAGCTAGTTAACTTGTGATCGAGCAACACATAAACTCGAGTGCAGAAAATTCATCTCGAACATGTGGAGATCTGCTACTTTACTTTGATTCCACAGGTCAGTCTTATGTTATTCAAACAATAGATAACTAAAGAAAACTGGTTAGGTCATTGCTATTTGTGGTAGTATTAGAAGTACTAGAATTCCTTGACTATTCGTCATATATTGAGACGTTCGTAAAGTAATATATAACATTACTTTAACAGAATTAGAGATCATTGTGTCGTCTTGAGTTATGTTATCGTACAGGCGGCTGAAAGAAATCAGCCCATATATATACACGGCTGCTACGTTGGCTAGTCCCGGTGACTCCACCTACTTGGAATACATGGAATAATGTCTATGTGTAACCATCCTTAAAAGGATTAGCATGCATGTGTAAACTGACATAAAAACTTGTGGTGTTCAGTAACCCTCTAGAATGGAACTCTGAAGATGACTCGGTTTAAAATATCTTAAGTAAACTGATGCGAGGTGATCTCTGTCGTAAGATACACTCATCTGAAGGTAACAAGTTTGGTTTCTTTTTTAATGGTTGCCCTGCGCGATATGACTAGGTTGAGGTGTGCATGCTACCATGGAGAGTCGCAGGCTTTGAACAATACGTGTGGAAATACTTACTCTTAAAACTGGTAAAAGCTAAGCAGGAAGCAGGTTCATATTAAGCAGGTTCTATAGAACCTGTATCAGGTAGAATGTCGTCCCATCTCAATCCTGACGTACTCGTTTAGATGAAATCAGGTACTAGCATCGAAACTATGAGTTCTTCACAGCAAACGAATCCTGGTAACCTGTCGGACGAAAGTACCTTGTCTCTGGCCTGATGTATACTAGAATTGCCGTCTGGAGAAAATCCTCAGTGAAAAGCAATGGACGAGCTGTGGAACTCAACTTGTGTAATTGACTAACAGGTTGACGGAACAAACTAAGCTCGATGGATACTATGGCTTCTGGCGAATAGTTACTGACGAATGCTTCGTCATACAAGGTCCTGAGAGTGAGTAGCTGCAATGACACTATGCCGCGTCCGAGGGACGCTGGAGCTAGTACTATATGATATTGTATGTAGTTGTATAGTTTCTAGCTGGTTGGAAAGAACAAACTAGTGAATACAGTACTTGTAGCTATATACAGGCTATTGGCACTTGTTGTCTTTGGCTCGTCGCTAGAAATAGTACTTGTTGCTATAGGCTAGTGGCTAGCATTTGGTACGAGAACTGTATAGAATAGTGTTATTACCTAGTATATATAAATATATTGTGTTAAATAAATAGACTTAAGCTAAACCTTCGAGGAGTTCAAGTAAAACTATAGGTGTTAGTGTAGCTTAAACTGTACAATTATTCGTAAAGCGTAATAAACCTAAAGTCCCTTCACACCTAAAAGGAAAAATTCACTTAGGATACAGTAAACCAGATTTTTGGAATCCTATAACCAAGATTAAATAATTTACCTAGTTCTTACTTAAACTATAAAAAAAGAAAAAACGGTGATGTAAGAAAACTTTAATTAATGATATAAACAAAGATACATTACAGAATTTCAACTTTATGGTTATGTTAAATATTAACTTTGTTGGGTAATAATGACGTTTATATTACTTTCAGTTGAGAATTGTAAAAATAGTTTGGAATCTTAAAGTATATAAATAGACTCAGAGTTTCGCTAACTATAGAAATTTCACTGATAGCCACCTGTCTCAATAATTTTATCTGCAGAGGTGGTTGACTAACAAGCCAAGGGAGTGTGTTCGTAATGTCATTTTTTATAAAACGTTCAAACTCAAAACTCCTACCACCGCCAACCCTATCCTAGGGAGACTTGAAAAAACCCCTATTACAGTATGCGATGTTAGGTTTTATTAACTACTATATAGGAAAATTCTGGGGATACAGATTCGATCATCTTGTTCAATCGAGTTGTAATAAGTAAATTCCTATAAACACTGGGAACAGTTAATATTTAATTAAGAAACCTATGAAAGTGGTTAAATAAAAGTAACTTGTTACCGTATAAAAAGTTTAACTTTTACCTTAAATGCATGGTCAGCTTATACTAAAAAAATACGCACCATTTCTAATTGGTTATAGTTGTGACTTAAGTAATCTATGTGATTAGCCATAGCTTACTAAAAATTTTAAAAAAACTTTAAAATTATGGGAGTAATACTTTTCATACCAGTAATTGTTTTACCTTATTACGTATTGTTCGCAACCATGTTACCTTGGATGATTCTACTATATTTTGCTCTTTTTTCCCCAAGCATCGCCCATTTATGTTGTCAAGAAATGATCATCAACGACGGCACTTTGTTAGTACACTCTGAGTACATTTCACAAGTTATTTTAAAGGAAGGCTATTGATATTGTGGTGTGATACTTAAGGCTCAATATAGTTTAAAATAATTTGCCTGTTCCATTTTTTAATGTTTTTAAAGCTTTTTCGAATAAACTGGATGAGGTTAAACACTATTGATTGCTAATAAATTGACCCATTTTACTTACACAGACCCTATTTTACAAATATGTATAAATTTTTTAACTTTGTTGGATACTGAAAAGGGATCTATCACAGTGCAACTTAATAACTTTTCCAAGTGACGAAGTTCCCCCTAATGTGATAAGTTTGTAAGTTATTATCTGACATAAACGGTATTTTAATTTTGTCAAGGCTGCGGTAAGCCTCTTGATAGTAGTAATAGAGTTTTTTAACTGTAGCTTAAAATTAAAAAGAACTTAAAGATTGGTAATTTTTAATATTTGGTTTTTGATTTCTTTGATTTTTCAAGTTAGAGAGCTTTACATCATGACAATTTGTGAATATATGCGTTTTGATAAAGTTATACTAATATTATCGTCACCTAATTACTAATAATTTATTTACAAGGGATTTAAATTTGAACAATGTGACTATCATTAAAAAAGAATTCTTCCAAGGACTCAAGAGTTTGACTAAATTGTAAGTCTACCCCTATCAAAACATACTAAACCAATTAACAACTAATGAAAGTATAATTTTAGTAATATAAAAATGTAACAATAAAATAATATTACTTACCTTACCTTACCTTAGAAATGCTTTACCGTATTCACATCGACTTATTTCACTTTTTAAATTTAGGCTCCTGGCCTTTAATTCAATATCCTTAATAGAAGACGGCTCCTTTGCCGAACTTAGCGCACGACAGCATTGTTAACCTTTATAACTTAAATTATTTGCTATTTTAAGACTGATTTATTTTGTTTTGTACAACAAAAGTTAATTAAACTTTTTAATTTAGGTCTTTATCATTTAATCGCGTATCAACATTAGACGGTGGTTTTTTTTTCTGAACAAAGCACTTTAAGAAATTTGTAAAAGCTCTATAAAATTTATTTTATTATTTTAAGGCGAATTTCTTTTGTACTCATTTTTAAGATTACTGCACAAATCGTACCAAACCATTTAAAAACAAGGAAAAGTCTAGTTTAATAATAGTGAAGTGTGATAATATATTACCTTCCTTTTCCCTTTGCCTTATGCATCTTTACCGATACTCACTTTAATTTATTACACTTTTTTATTCAGGCATCTTTTCAAAAATAGCATATCATCAATAGAGGATAATTCCTTTGCCGAACTAAGCGCTTTAGAAAATTTGTATAAGCTCTTTATAAACTTATTTTCTAATATTAAGGCTAACTGCTCTTGCATTGTACAAAAAGAGATTTAAGTGAAAACCGACTTACTGCCCTCCGAAAAGCAATGTTCTCGTCTTGGAAAGTTTGAAAGATTTGTAAGTAAACATCAGGATGGTTGATTATTTATTTATAGGAATTCATTATAAGTAATAACTTGAGCTTTCTAACAAATTTACTCACTTATAAGTCTACAACTGCCAAAATCGTACCGAACCATTTAATAACAAGAATAAGTCTGGTTTCAGTATAAAGCCTTATTCAAATAATGTATTTACAAATCTAAAGTCTTTCGTATTATAGTTGTACGCTTTCGGATTTATTTGCACAAAAGAGTAGATATAAAAACATTTGTCTTTTTAATTTTATTTTTCGACTGATAATAGGCACTCAGTTGGGGACCCAATAACTGAAATTGAGCCAGAAGCTTTTAATACAAAGACTAAAATGTAAGCAAAATCCTTGTTTTTTTTTATTTTCTGTTCTATCCTTTATTATAATCTAACGTCTATAAGGTTTATTACTCTTGATGAAAATTTTCTTTGCTGCTCTCGTCTTCATTATGAGAATTTAAGTTACTTAAGTGAACAAAGCACTTATGAGGGGGAAATTAAAGGATACAACACTTTTGATAGTAATAAATGTACCGCTTTGAAGGCTCCGAGTTCTACTAATCAAAGTACGTTAACTCCCGTCAATACCCCGACGGACCTGCTTTCCTCTTCACACAGCACTCAAGCCACTACGCCGGTGATCCTACCTCTTTCCTCAACACCCAGGGCAGCGGCAGCATTTAGAATTCCTAATTTTTATGTATGGCTAGCGCTAAGCTTAGTCCTTTCCTGCTTATCTTAAGCTAATATAATAAATTGCGTGTTTTCACAAATTCGTTCTTTACCTAGTCTTTCTATCAGAATTTTGGTTTGTAGAGGAGTTGTACACGTAACTACCAGACCAGAAAAATGCGAGTTGTGACAGACGGGAATCGTACCCGCCGCCTTGAGACTGAGCGACAAATGCTCTAACCACTGAGCTCCGCTGACGACTCACATCTTCGGTCGTTAACTTACGTATATACAACTTTTAATACCCTCTGTTCCCTCTAACCTTATAAATCTAGGTATTATTCAGGATATATAAATCCCCGCATGATGACGAAGACCTTCGGAATGAAATGGTAAGAAAGAGTGACCATTTTATTGTCCCGTAATGAAGAGGTAGTCATTACCTTCTATTTTTTTTTAAAGACTTTGGCGGGTGGCCTGTAAGTTAAGCGCAGGCTATTGAAAAAAGAGTAACTTGGTGCTAATACCGAATTTGCACTGTGGAGACAAAAATTACCTCCTATGGATTCTTATAGTTAAATTTTTAAAATTACAACCTTACAAACATTGTCTACTAAAATATTGTCATAACGAACTAATCATAATAGTTAAAAACTTTGAACTACAATTTTGTACTTAGATTATAAAGGCTATATAGACATTAATTCTTAAATTATTAACTCCGACTTTAGGGGAAAAAGGAACTAAAAAATGAAATAAAAAGTGGATAATCATATATCTAAATATAAAGGAAATGTAACATAAACAGTTAAATAACCAAGACGGCAAAAGACGCGCAGAGTGGTGTCTCTTATTCACTCTGATTTTCATTCTTATTCTCGTCTTCGCTACTGAAGGCATGTTATTTTCGAACACATCCTTTGTGATAAATTTAAACAGCTTAATTTATTAAGAAAAAGAGCACAAGCTATACTGATCATGGTGGTTATTGAATCCAAGCTCAAAACGACGCGCAGAACATTCCACTCTAATGAGGTAGCAGATTGAACCTAGGATGACAGAGATTTGTAGTAAAAAGGAAAAAAAAAAAAAAGGCAGCATCATTGAAAATGCCATACAGCAGACATAAATAATTTTCTCAGGATTTCTTTTAAAAGGAAAGGTTTAGTAGATATTAGATTTTAGAAGCTGTAGATACATTTTTGTGACACCCGTTTACCCTGCGAGGAAATCAGTATAAATTTTAATAGAAAAAAAAAAACAAATTCCCTATAAAGTTAAAATAAATAAACAAGGCATTAATTGTTAACTGTGTGATCTTCTTACAACCATACAATTTAGTTTGACACCGAACTTAATTGGTAAATTTTAATTGATTCCGTGTGTTAAATTTAATATTTTTTTTTTAAGTATATATATATAATTTTACGATTAGTAAAGCAGAGGGATTTTCTCTTTTAGACCTCTTTTTTGCCTGTAGTTGCCCGCGGGGTATTTTGCCTTGCTTGTTTATTATTGACGACCTGGTAACTCAAAGAAGAATCGCATAGGTTTGGTTTAAGGAAAAACCTTGTAGACAGACTTTAGATAAAACTCCATAAATATATTTCAACATTAATTTCCATTTAAAAATAGTATAAACTTCATAGTTAAATGGCTCCTAACCCTAAAGGACTAAATATACATTCGGCTTCAAAAGCAAAGGCAAAGCCTGTTTGAGTGACGAGCTTTCAAGTGCCTATAACGAAAATATAACTAATATAAATAAGGAATTAAATAAAAATTTATAATGAAAATTAACACAGAATTGAAACTATAAAAAAAAAAAGTTTAAGGAAATTTATATTTCACATAAAAATTTGCTTGATAGCTAGATTTTTATTTAATTATATTCCTAGTGCACATTTATAACTGTTTTTTCTTATATATATTATATTTGTATTCCTTTTTTTTATTGTAAAGATTATAAATTCCTTTCTATATTTTATACTTTATACATATTTATTTTTTTTAATAAATATTATTATCACATTTTCTCTTTTTCCTTAACCATACTTTACTATGAAATATATTTATATATATTACACATATAATGTTATTAGAAAATTTAATTTTGATATGTATATTTTTCTTTTGTTAATTTAACTTTTTATAAGCACGGTGGCGGTCGCACGTAAATCTCGATGGCGAAGCGATTTTTTTTATCATTTACTTTGCGCCAGAAGCAAACGATCGTGCCACGCTATTTTGCTTTGTAAGGCCGGTCAATCATAAAATATGCATCTGCTGTCTAAGCTAATAGCCTCTTCGCAATACATGGGTCATAACAAGCTTGCCACGCTCGATGACGGAGGCGCCGTGAATTATTTGAAACGATAGTTTACGTCATTGCTATATAATTTATGAACGGCTTATTGCTTCCTCGACACACCAACCAAAAACTCGCAAAAAAAAACTAATGTACCAATTATTGAAGAGCGCTCGTTAGCGCTCACTGCTCAATTGGCGTCTAGCATTTTTGTTATGTATAATAAAGGAGAGCGAGAGGTAACAAGATATATAAATATATATATATAATTTAAAGTAAAACATATTATATAATTTTTTTTATCAAAATGTATATAAAAAAGATATTAATATATTAATATCTAGCATCTTTATCTCATAGTGAAAGGAATGATTAACTAATCTGGATGTGAACACTATTTTACCCCTCCAAAGGGGATATTTTGTATAATTAAGCCCTCCAAAAAGCATGTAGAAGAGAATGGGAAACTTCCTCTCTCGATGCTCGCGAATTTGCCAACGTCATACTTTTTATTATCCTCAACGCTTACCTTGCGCGGGCATCCTATATTGCCATGTGGTCACAGCGATCTAGGATATTATTTGGGCTTAATCTGAGGTTGGGTAGGCCGAAAGACCAGTGTTATACCTCAACTTATATGGTTGGGCTCTGAATAGGAAACCTAAAGGTTGGCTATCCTCGGCGCTTTCCTGCAATGTTGTACACTCTTTTAAGAAAGTAACAATTTAACACAATAACGGTGTAGGTTACTATCGTTAAGCGAGTGAAGAAAATCGGCCCTAAGGTGGAATTCGTCGATGGATTCTACCTATAGGATCCGATGTGACTTCAAACTTCACCCGATGATGTATACGTGTCGGACGCCACCCAAGGATAAATGGCAAGTGAAATGTAGTCACTATATTGAAGGGTGCTGGCTAACTATATTTCGAAATTCTTGACTTGACTTGAGCTGAAATTATACAGTAGGCTCTCGTAATTAATCATCCTATCTCTTCAGCTAAATGATCAGAACACAGTAGGCAGTAACATGGTTATCGTGCTTTTAAGGAAAAGTGACCAGAGTTACCGTGCACTTTGATGAGTCCTAAGAAAGAGTGATCTAGTCTAACAGACAAAAGCCCTCTTGAACCAATAGACTACTCTGGAAAATGAGAAAACTAATAAGTCACATGAGATCTTTAAAAGGTCCCATTCTTTTGAATTCATGAAGGATTATGGCCAACGGTGTTAGACTAAAAAGGATTTACAGCTCAGCTGTTAGCTTGCGAATATTCTCTCGATGATCAAACCGGTGTTGATATACTAGAATTATTACCTCACTGAACCGTTTTTTTCCTAGACAAAGGTGTGGGTAGGTCCTTTGACTTTGTGTAATATAAGGCTAAGTGGTAGCAATGCCTGCACCTGGAGTGGATAGATGCGTCCGAAAGCCTGTACTGTTTTCTTGAACTATATCTTTGTCTTGTACCGTTCGGAACTTTGAAGATTGCTATCATGGGTATCATAGATAACTCTATTTGCATCGGTTCTAAAAGCTTTAGAATTAGCTTGAAACCGATTCTGAAATAGTACATAATCCTATTATCACGCTAAAAATTGCTTTAGACCAGCAAAGTGAGAAGGTTATTAACTAAATCATAACATTTTTAATTAGATTGGCTCGGTTAACTTACTTCGTGCTACGTGATACATCGAGCTGAATAATATATGTAGTTTGTTGTGGTAGGCTAAGGAGGGCTTATATTTCATAAATGGTAGCGTCCTAGAATAGCATTAGGAAATTACAGTATACGAATAGTATTATCTACTAGTATTCACTATATTAAACGTGACCGATCCCGGTCTAATACGCCTGTGCAAAACCACTCAGTCGTTTTGGACAGTGTCGATAACCCTTTGGGAGAAGGAACTGGTGATGAATAATTCCTTAACCATCGAGGAGGGGAATTTAAATCAGATAGTTTAAAGTGCTTCTAAATTTAGACAGTAGTATCCCAATGTTAAAAAAAAGATAAAACATTCTTAAAAGGTCATGCCGTGAAGGGTCCACCGACCTTATGTTGTATGAGGATTATGGTGTTCGTTTTTTTATAAGTAAAGTTTATTAGTTCAAATCATAACCCTTGAACTAACACATGGTAAAATAGGGACCCAGACTTTAATTACTAAAATGACCGCCTTACGCAGCTTCGAAAAAGTTATTTGCTTATTAAAGTTACAACTTGTGACTTTTGTACTACCCTTTAAAGTCATAGCCAGCGTATTCATAGAATTTGAAGCAGCAGTTCGGGAACGGATGTCTAGTAAAGGTTCACGCGGGATTTCTAGTACGTACCCGCACATGTATTAAACTCCGAACTGCACGCCCAGTCTCTATTTTTTCTGTATTTAGGGTGCGGTTGCAGAATAGATCAAAGCTTTGGCACTATCTTTACCTCCATATAAAATCTTTGATGCTCCTTGGAGTCTTTCAGAGCCGATGGAAGACGGTGACCGTGGTGACGCTACCAAAAACACTTAAACCGGAATCAGCATCTTACAAGTACCGATTTGTCAGACTACTTTTAGCAGACGGCAAAGTTGAGCGAGGCCGTTTTGCTGCGCCGTCTTAAAAAGGTGGTGGACGCTCAGAAAGTTTTACCGGAGTTTCAGTTTGGGTTTCGGAAAGGGCACTCAACGAACCCAGCATCTCCTCCGCTTAACTGTCTGAAACCATTCCCGCTTTTAACCAAAAGGCAGGAGGCGCTGTCTTCTTAGACGTTGAAAAGGCATTTGACCAAGTTTGGCATGAAGGTCTACTGCACAAACTGCGCTAGTTATCCGTCCTTCTTGAACTTTATAACGTGATGAAATCATAACTGAATGGGCACAGTTTAAGCGTGTGCGTGAGATATTCGTTCGCCGCGTCGATATATGACAGCAGGGGTCTTTCAGAGATCCCTGCTCTCACCCCTTTTATTTGCAATTTACATGAGTGACGTCCTCTTGCCGTCCGGCCCACATACACGGAATCTTCCTTTACGCTGATGATATGACCGTATATTCCTCTTTGTAGTCTCCCACCTTGCTATGCAAACATCTACAAGCGCTATCTTGGCGCCCTTGCTGTCTAGGGCCGTAATTGGAGGGTTACTATAAATGCGGTGAAGAGCAAAGCTATATTAATTTCAAAGAAACACGTCCTTTTGTTGGTGGCCTTAACTTTAAATGGCGTGAAAATTCCATAGTGTGCTCAAGTGAAGTACTTTGGAGTCATCGACAACAAAATTTTCTGACAGCTGCCTCACGTGGACTATATATAGGGGCGAAGGACAAGGCAGCAACCAGGGATCCTTTACTTTACGGCAAGAGTAAGCTTTACCTGCGAAACAAAAGGCAATTGCAATTGTATTTGTCTTACATCCAGCCAGTAATGACATACGCATCTGCTGCTGGGGCTTATGATTCCACTGCGATAGCGTCAGCACTTCAAGTGCGATAGAACAAAATTGCTGCGTGTGTTTTAACAAAGGCGCCGTGGTTTGTGCGAAATGATGTTCTTCACCTGGGCCTCCAGCTGGAACCTTTAAACATTGTCTGCCAACGCCATGCCGTGGTTGGTTCTTTACGACAGGCTCACCAGACACACCAATGTCCTACTGGTGAGCACATTTATTTACGAGCCAAGGGACGGGACGTATTATAACAGCCCACGTGACTCGCTTAAGCGCTAGTTTTTTTTTTTTTTTTTTTGTTAATTTAAAAAAATAATGTCACTTTTATTTGTGATTTATCTGCGATCCCTCCTGATTGAGAGAAAAAGTCAATTATCAACAAATTATACTAACTTTAGGGCAACCTAAGTTTGGGTTAATAGATCTTTTTAGAAGTGCGTTAATTAATAATTAAGCTACTAGGTATTACTATATTTTCTTTAATGTTTATGTTGTTATTTAATTATTATTGACTTCAAAAGTTTATTTTAAGTACGTCTATTACTTATTAAGATGTAGGCAATATTCTGATTTTGCGTTGCGTGATAATTTCATCTTTTCTATACACATTAGACGAAGTAATTATATATACTATTGTAAAATAGCTTCTTGGCTACTATATAACTCGCACCCAAATTTAAGTTTTAACCAGCCTTCTTTACTAAGTCATAAAATTTTTTTTCCTAATAAACCTTAAAAAGTTGCAAGTGTATGTTACTTCCTACCAATTTTTTTTGGAGCATACCAGTTTGTATTAAAATAAAGCGCAGTTGAGAATATAATAACCCAAATAATTGTAATTATTTAATTTATTTATACTGTTATGTTGTTTATATGAAAAAGAACCTTTTTCTAGTAGTTTAGTTAGCTACGGGCTATTGGCAATGTAGCTTTTTTCCATCGTGTTAAAAAAGGAGCCAAGCAACACTACAGAATTTGTGAAAAAGAACAGGTGGTTAAGCGCCTCCGATGGCAACTTTATAGGTTCTCGTTAGTGCACGGTTGAATAAGTCATGGTCAAAGGTTGACGTGTCACCGGTTTCCTGTCTTCGTCCCTAAAGACAGAGGAAGTTAAAGGCAGGCAGGTCGGCCTAGAGCGCCGCCTTATCTTACTCTCTTCTAGCTAATATAACGCCATTATTAAGTGGAGGTGGTGAAGTATGATAGCGGTCTTTAATCCATTTGACAAAGAGTTAAAAAGATGACCCTCCTTCCTCTGCCTCAACGGACAACAACCCCTGCAGTTTGGCTTCCAGCGATTGACAAGCCCTTTTCTAGAGACCGTTTAGCGTCAGTCTGTCGTCAGGAACTTTGAGTAGCAGTTGCCAGGCATAACGACCAGCAGCATTGACCAGTTATGTTCATTATATTAAACCGTCAGACGAGCAAAGGCGAACGCTACTTCGCGGCTGTATCGGTTAGCTGTTCGCCTTAAAAATGAGCAATTACGTCTTTTAACAAGGAAGGGGTTGAAGAGGATTAAAATAATTCTTTTATTTTCACACATTTGTATGCAAGCGTAAGGCA